AGGCCGGCCGGTCTCTAAGTACCGGTAGGGCAAAGGCCGGCCTCAATGCTGCGAGGCCTGGCCGTGACCTGAACCGTCAAGATCGGCGGTTCAGATCAGACCGGCGGGCGGCAGCCTCAAGAGCGTCGCCAGGCCCAAACGGTAATGTCGTTTGGGCCTGCCCGTCGGGTCTGGTCCAAAAATGTGGCCTAAAGGCCAACCGGTGGCCTGTAAATGGCGCTACCGGTCTAAAGGTCCGGCCTTGGGCCTAGACCGGCCTCCGAACCCCTATCTGTCGGGCCTAACCGGGCCCGTGTGACATAGTATGTAACATGAACTTTTGATGTAGCGCCATGCTTGGAAGCGAAGATGGTAGTATGCCATAGCCAAAGGTAAGTCTTCTTCATGGTACCCATATTCCTGGTCTTCCTCCTAAGCTATCTTGATCTTCCTTGCATGCCTAATGTGGCCCTAACCCTTGCTACCAGAACCAACCCTTCTCCTCCTCCTTCCTCCGTCAACGTGCTTGGCTCATTAATGTGAGCACTACCTTGACGCACACTCACATTGAAGTGCTGTTGTCTAGCTAATAACATGAAAGTGTCCCCTCTAAGACGTGGAAGGTGAAAAGCACAGAAGAAAATGCTTTGATTAAATGAATGGAATGGAAGGCACAAAGGAGTGTTTAGACTCTAGACTCAGCTCATTTGACCAAGACACTCTTGTCTGGCTAGCTGCTCAACTCTTGTATGGCTAGCTCCCTACCCACTGTTACTGCCTCTTCCAAATACAAACATGTCACATCTGGCAGGCAAACCTTGTTTATGCAAGATTTGAGATAACAAATTATTTGAATGCCAAAATTGCCCACACGAGTACCAGTTTGACAAAGACTAGGACATTGACCAGAACTTTGGATCTGTGCTCTGATGTGAACAAACTTTGCAGGTACCTTTTCCACACCTCTTGATTTCCACAGGTTTCCCTTTGACACGCAGGTATGTTGTCCCTTCTGCTTCAGAACGCTTGATCCTCTCCTGCGCCTCATTTTGCGCTTTCTATTAAGGGCAGTAACACCGATGATTACTAAATCCATCAGGGCTGCACTCATAATCCGTTTACCAACACAGGGCAGGCACCTCAGCCTCTTTTTGGTACCAACCTTTAGCCACAAAAAACATGGGCTCCCAAAATTGCCATCTCCACCAGACTTCGTTCAACTGACCAGCATTCAAATCCTTCATAATAAAGACACAAATCAACAGTGAATGCTGCTGTAGAGACATGTGGAACGAACGATTATGAAAATACAAGGGGACATACGACTCTATATAAGCGAAGATAGGCCAATGCCCACTCTTACTCGCCAGTTTATGAGAGGTGTCCAGCTGAGGAATCTGCAAAAGCCCCAATGTAAGCTGGAGATGAAACACATCAGGACGACACCTACCAAGAGGCTCAGTGTTGCGTTCTTTGCCATCTCAGAAGCATTTTGGCAATTGGCTTCAAAATTCAAATGGAATTCTAGCTCTTTGTGGAAGATTGTCGGTGCTTTGATTCTCTTTGCTCAATCATTTTCATTGCTCTATGGGTGTGTCACAACTTCTTGCAAGGATTGGATGAACGAGGAAGACCCCGACAAGAAGGCAATTCTGTCACTTGCTTTTTTGAATTCTTCTTCTTCCTCATCCTCCTCGGCCTCCTCCACATTCCCCTCCTCCTCTCCTCCTGTTCTTCCTCTCAAAATGGCAGAGTAGGATGGTGTAAGGTCGCAAGAAAAGACCATCACCATGTCTGTCTCTCTTTCTTTTGTTCAGAAAGGGTGACGACTGAATACCTTCCCATTAGCAGCTCAAACCACATTAGCGGGCCTTCTCTCTTTGCAGAGGGGTTCTCCTTCTTCACCCTCCACCATTTGTCTTCTCACTCTTCCTCCTTGGCTATGGCTTCCTCCTTCCTCAAAGTTCTCTCCTTCCTTCCTTCTTTCAATTAGAACCAGCATTCATGGTGTCCTCCCTTCTCAACATGCCCTCCTCTCTCCTCATGCTCAACAAGCTTGTTCCCTTGTCTCCCTCTAGCTATCGTGACCTCCTAGCTCCAGAGCCTTGGAGTCCTCCCCTCTAGGAGGGCTATGGGGACTCCCTCTAGCCTTCCTTCCTCCTCTACAACCCGAGGGATATAGCGGAGCACCTCCCTAGGCCAGCGCAACTTCTCCCAGCCTTTCTAGCCTATTCCACTAGCCTAGAGTCTCCTTCCTAGCTCTAAATTGGCAGCGGTTCCCCTCCTCTCACTCCTATTGAGCTTAGAGTTCTTGTGGGTGCATTGGGCCAGCATCTACTTGCCTCATGCAAATGTGAGTGAGGCGGACTGCTCCCTTGGCTTAAATAGGCTAAGGACGGTGCTCTAGCCAACCTTTGGGCCTCTTCGATGTGCCAAGGATGAGTCGCGGTACTCCCAATGCCTTCCCTCACTCATGAGCCTCTTCGGAAGCACCTGGAACTCATTTTGGCCCAGTACATTCAATCCGAGTGGGTGGTACTAGCTCGGACAGCCTCTGGGAGCACCAAAGGCTTTACTTTCATCTGCAAATGTTGTCCCTTAGATCCGGATGATCAAGGGATGACCTTTCTTGAAAAGAAAAGGCCTTTTGCGCCTTTTTCCAATTTTCTTCTTGGACCATAGATGCGGTCAAATCCTAAGGACAGATGTAGTCTAGATCCAAGTGGTCCTAACTTCAAGTTAAAGCCTTGAGGCTCTTTCTTTCAATTTAAAGTGCACATGGCCTCAATGTTTGACCAAGTGCATTGTTTTGTTTTATTCCTCCTTTTGTTTCTTTCCATTTATTGATGTCAACTCATTCCGCAGTAAGCCATTTGATTTGGCATCACAAAAAAATGACCGTTTCATCTTGTCCCTAGATCAAAATCTTAGATCTAGGGCCAAAGTGACAACTGGAACGGAAAAGTTGGCAAAGATCCCGGGGCCAAGACAGGGTCCAACGGTGGTTGAAACGCCCACAGTGCTGATACGTGCTGGACCAGAGGCTTGGTTTGTTGTGCCTGGGTCGAGCTTCAATGAGCATGTGCCTCGCACTCAAACTCTCGTAACCTCGTATATGCCTGTGTAGCGAGAATGCAACTTAGAGGAGCACACTGACTTCTGTACTTGTACCAAGTCGCCAACTTTATAGTTGGGGAGTGGGTCTGCTGATGCGTGGCGGTTCTCGTAGTCTCGGATCTGTCGTTGATTCATCAGATTGATGGTCTTCTATCTTCGGCGATCCAACCGCGGATAGGCCTTAGCAATCAGATCGAGATAGTGTTGGGCCATGTCCCATTGTTGGGCCTCAGTTGCTTTAACTTCCATACGTAGGAGGGGCGATAGTTGGATCCTATAAACACTATTGGTCCGTAGTTGGAACAGGGGCACACATGTACTACTATGTGGAGTAGCTCGATCGCTAGCGAAGATGTGATTGACTACGATTAACCACAGATGGCTATCTCCAGTAGTGATGTTCTATCTGAGGGTGGTCTCGATCATCCGGTTAGCATTCTCGACTAGCCCGTTGGCTAAAGGCCAACGTCCAGGCGAGTAGGAAATCTTAACGTCGGCTTGGATTAAATGTCGCTCTTCTTCTCCCTCAAACACACTTCCGTTGTCCATATGGATCTCTTCCACGTCTAGGTGCATGCACAACAAACGATTAATGTACAATGCTACCTTGATTGAGTTTCAACTGGTCATCGGGCACGCCTTGATCCACTTCGAAAAGTAATCGGCGACTACCACAAGAATATTCAGCTCACCCTGGTCGATAAGCTCTGATGGTACGTTGATATCCATCGTATCGATGCTTATCCTTTAAAAAACAGTGTTCAACGTTAGTAGGCACCATCGTAAGTGGCATCCGAACCGGGGCCTTGTCCACCGAACAGGCCAAACAATTCTATACGATGCATTCGATATCTTCCTCAATTTCGGACCAGTACCAGTCATTTTTCTCAATCGCTTTATCTGTGTACTTGACCGAGAAATGAACCGCATCCTCCTCATGTGCAGCTCGGGTCCGATCGAACCGCGCTAGGGGGTGTGGAACCGTTAGCCAGCTGGTTCTAAAGTCATCATTGTCCTTCCATTTTTGGAGGCAAACGTGATGCCACCTATAGTCGTGGGTTTGTTTCGTCACCCTCCTTCGCTCGACTTTGGTGAGTTCCGTCAGTGGGTCGCTATTTAGATGCCTCAGTAACAGCAAATCCAGACTTCTGCTTTGCGGACAACTGTCTAAAATCCGTCATCCGTTCGAGCCTTCTCATGGCGTGTTTCCTTTGGAAGTTAAAGAGGTTGGCAGTTGGGACAAACCCAACCTTTTTCAGTCTGGTACCTGACACAAGGCCCGTGAGCCTGGATGATGTGAGACCTAAAAGCACTCGACCCAGGGAACGAAGCTTAGCACAAATGGGTACGACCCTTCCCTGGCTGAAATCATTGCCTATGTAGAAAAGAAACATGTCTTTTCAGAGAGGAATGACAAAGAATAGGGATCAGAAAAAGACGAAGAAGAAGCGGGGGAAGGGAAGGAAGGGGAGGGGGCTGCCATGCCTAGCAGCTTGCACCGTCACTTCGCCCATGCAGATTTCTCCACAAGATCTGCAATTCCCCATGCGGGGGTTCCATCGTTAGTGGAGGGGGCTGCTCGTTCTTGGGTCTCCTCTTCGGCGGCTGCAAACGTGTCCGTCCGTCGGCATTCTCGTGCTGCTTGGTCGGTCAATGACAAATGTCGAAGTCGTAATCATGCAGCCTCACCACCCACCATCCCAGTGTTCCGGCGTAGTTGGTGTTGTCCCGAAGCTTGGTGGTCCAGCACCAAGATGAACTTCTGGCCATGGAGATATGGTCGGAAGTGCTGAATTCCCTAAACCACCGCCAAGCACTCTCCCTTACACTCCTCGTAGTTGGCCTGGGCTTGATTGAGCGTCTTCGAGGTGTACTCCATGATGTGTTCCTTCCCGTCAGTGCCTTGTCAAGTCTGCAGTGCGGGTATCGCCTGTGGCTGCCCGTCCTTGTGCAGGATAAACTCCTTCGTCGGATCTGGGCGCACCAAGATCGGGGTCGTTGTCAGAGCCTCCGCAGCACCTGAAAAGCCGGCTTGCATTCCAGCGTCCAGATCAGTTTTTCGTCCTTTTCCAGGAGGTTCCTCAAAGGCTTGGCGATGTGCATGAAGCCTTGGATAAACCTTCGATAGTAGGAGGCCAATTTCGAAAAGGCCTGAACTTGAGTCAATGTCGTTGGGACTAGTGCCTCGCACAGCGCTGCAACCTTCCTCAGATCCGGCTTCAACTCTTTGACGGTCAAGATGTAGCCTAGAAAAGAGATCTTTGACAAAAAGAACTCACTTTTCTCCAATGCCATTTTGAACCCAGCATGTTTGAAGCCATGCAAGACCCACTCCACGTGTTCCACGTGGTGTTCGTGTGTTTAGGAAAAGACGAAGATACTGTTCATATACAAAATCATGCGGAAGTTAATTAGGGGTTGGGTTAGTCGTGTCTTCTTAACAAACTCGGCTAAGGCCATGTTCATAGCCCGCTGAAACTTAGTCGGGGCGCTACAAATCCCCATTAGGCACTGAATCTATTGCCACCCGCCATCAAACAGAACAAAGGCAGTTTTGGGTCTGTCCTCGGGCCTGACAGCGACAGGTTGACATCGTGTAGGATATGAAACTTGGAAAAGACCCGCACGGATCCAATAGCGTTGTCAGGGCAAATACCCTGACAAGAGTATTTGCCGGGGATTTTGAACGTTGGACACTGTCCGACGTTTTCATTGAATTGAAGGACTTGATGAGATTGACGGTTGCCAAAAGTTATTTATATCTGACCTATGATTAAGAGACTAAAAGTTTTCAGACTTTGGCCCGGACGGGTGTGGCATCCGGAGATAATGGATATGAGTGGCGATACTTCGCTTTTGTCGAAGCCGCAGGAGTGTGCGG